AGTGAAGAGAGACAATCAAAATATTTCTCGTCAAAAGATCTATTGTGAGTGATTTTTTATGCAAACATAATAATCATTTATAAAAGATCTTTTTAACAATCTATTAGATCAAGTAAAAAGAATTTAGTTTTTTTTAAATAATATCTTAAATTTAAATTTTATAAATAAAAAAGTAAATATTTAAAAAGATTTTAAACTCTAATGTAATTCAATTCTAAATTAATAAGTATTTAGTGTGATTTTTAAATACTAAAAAATTAATGTAATATATATATATTATATGAGAGATCTACAATCAGCATATTGGTCGAACTCTTGCTAACAATGTCCGTTTCTCAGCCAAGCTGTCCCAAGTGAATATTTAAGCAAGGAATTTCATGAAATTTATGCAGTACATCTTTTTTAAGCAACGAATTTCATGCAGTATTATCTTTTTCAAGCCTTGGTGGACCAGGGGGCGCTTTAGTCCCATAAATTTCTCGAGATGGAATCCAATTAGCTATTTGTACGCGTTATTGTATTTTGACAGCAGAAAAGAAACAATATCAAGAAAAGAAAAGAATATAAAAACGTTATAATATGGTTATATGTTGCTAATGATTTATTGATTCATCCCCATGCGTTGATTGACAAAGTATTCTGGTTTAATAGGAATTACATCGTATGAGTTGCAATTTTAAACTTTACTAATATCAATATTTTGTTCTTCTAATTACCTTATTGAATAAGTAATTTATTGATTGAAATGGAAGAAATTTAATTTTTTAAAGTAAAATTTTAAAATTGAATTTTAAGAAAATAAATACAAAAAGAATTTATTTATTTTTATAAAATTTGATATAATTAAATTTTAAATTAATTAAAATTAATATGAGTTTTGAATATTACAAGATTTAGTAAAAATAATATAGTTATGTGTTTTAGGAAGCAATCAAAATGAATAAAACGTGAAATTTTCAAGCTAGAAACTGCTGTTTTTATATTAAGGTTTTGAGAATGAGATGGGCATAGAGAACTTTGGATATATATGGAACAGAAAATTCTTCGTGACAAAGTATCCAGCAAGATATTCACCAAGAAAAGAAAAAGAAAAAAGCAACAAGAAGAAGTTTCCAGCAAGATGATACCCTTGTACACTAACTCTTTCACCAAAAGACAGGTTTCACAGTCCCAAATCTGACTTACGTTGAAATCCTGGTCAAAATCCCATATCCGCCTGCCACCTACTGTTCAAACGAGCGGTTTCAGCTGTTTCCTGGAAGTAAAGGTAAAGTTAGAATAGGAGCTTGAACGCGTCGAAAACAATTCAACACGACTTGAAGGCCCACGCAACCTTAAGCTGTTACAAATGGATAGTCGATAATTTTATTATATGAAAAAAAAGTTTTGAAATTTAAATGACGTGGAATTATAAAATATTAATTAATGACTAAAAATAATTTTTTTATTAGGGTCCTTCTCCTATAATGCTATGAACTCTAAAAAATTGATTTTTTTTTTCATTATATAGTCAATGCGTTTTTTAAAAATTAATATCAAGACGTTTGATTTTAAATATATTAAAATATTTAATAATAATCACATAATAAATATAATGAACTCAAAGTGCATACTATAATTTATATATTTA